AGCAAATCATCAACGTATATTTGTTTGGGGGTATATTCATGATTAGTTTGCTTGCCTCAGGAAAATTAGCGGCTTCCCTTGTAGCGAGTTCTTGTAGTGTTCTCATAGCTAAATATGGACTACAATTAAGGCCGAAAGTAACTGTATTCGATGTCCATTCGGACAAAGGTTCGTCGGGCGAAAATCTCCAGAGAATCTTTTGAAAGTTTCGGTGTTCTGGTGTAACCAGAATCTGCCTGAACATTTCTTTTATGTCGGTAATAAAGACAACGGAATGAAGTCGAAAAGTAAGAAGTGTGAATATGTCCTTTTGTAACTTGTGACCTGAAAGTTAAGTGTCGTTTAGGCTTAAACCCCTTGGACCCTTCGCGGAACCATCCCACACCACCCGTAATTTTGTACTTTCTGGTTTAATAACGCAGTGGTGGGGTAAATAACACGATGAAGGAGGTTTTGGTGAATCTGGAGACACAAGGGACATTTGACCAGTTTCTATGAATTCTTTTAGAAAATCTGAATAAGCTGAATATAAGGTCGGATTTTTCAAAAGTCTGTTTTCTAGTAGAGAGAATCTGCGAAAAGCGTGAGGGTACATATCACCCAAATCAGGTTCAGAATTTTTGAAAGGCAGTGACACAATAAATCGGCCTGTGGAACTACTGGAAGTGGTAGATTTGAAGATATCTTCGCATTTTTTATCGTTAGGGGACAAGTGAGTTTTTGAAGGAACTTGTTCAATTTCCCAGAACTTACACAAACTTACGTCTAAGGGTACGTCTCAGTTTATGAAAAATGTGCTTGGAGAGTTTGAATGTGAAATATTATCTACTTTGCCAAGTAGAACCCATCCAAAAACGGTTTCGATTGCTGTAGGCTGGCCTACCTGACCTACTTTTCTACCTTGACCAAGAATTTCAGTAAAAAGCTCTGCCCCAATCAGCAAATCAATAGGACTTGAAAGGAAATAATTTTCATCTGCTAGATTCAAGCCTTCTAGATGTTTCCAATCTCTGTATTGCAAGTTAAAGCTTGGCATATTGGAACAAACTTGTGGCACTACTACGGCTTCGAAAGAAAACAATTTTTTGGCATTATTGCGTGATCGAATGATGCACTGCGCCAACCCATTCGAAGAAAAGGATGATATTTGGTTAAGACCAAAAATAGACGTGACGAAGTGACGCCTTGATAAACCTCAGTGGCGAATACATTTTTCGCTCAGAAAATGACATTGGCTACCACTGTCGATCAGTGCACGTATCGGCTGGAAAATCCCATTTCCATCCTGAATTTCCACTGTAGCTGTAGCCAGGAGCACTGTACCTTGTTTTGCAAATGCATTACCAATATGCACTGTTTGTTGTTGGAGTGTTTCAGATGCACACAGGGTTAGTGATGTGGTTGAATTTTCCCCTTGTGCATTCTGTATAGTCAGGGGGCTAGAAATAGCGACATTTGAAGCCGGAACTGAAGATTGGGACGTAATATGTAAGGAGGAATGGTGACTATTGCGGCAAACACGACATCGGAAATTATAAGTACAGTTCTGTACACTGTGAGAATGATGCAAATAATTGGAACATAATTTATTCTGTTTGACGTAGGTATTCCTATCCGTTGCCGATTTTTCTAGAAATTTGCAACATTTTGAAAGGGTGTGAGGCTCCTTGCATAAGTAACATTTTATTTGTGAATTTGTAAAACCTGAGGAAACTTTGTTGTAAAGTGCAAAAATGAATTAGGTTTCTTGGAATTTTGGAAATTTTGTGAAAATTTATTATTTGTAGGAAAATTATTACGTTTTATTGCTTTGTTCGACGAACTCTGCTGTATAGATTCCAATGCCTTGCATTTGCTTTCAAGAAAACCGTACAGGTTTGCGTAAGTCGGAATTTCGATGTCACTATATTTTAATTCAAATGTAGTGCGGGTATTAATGTCTAATTTATCTAAAAGAAATGTAAATAAAATAAAATCCCATTCATCTGTGGGAAACTGAAGAGCTTTCAGAGCTGCTAGTGATTCTGAGAAACAATTTAGTAAGGACCTTAAATCCCTAGCGGTATCGCTTTTTAAGGTAGCCGACATAATTGAATGGATAGCATTTGAAGCCAAAAGGCGTTTATTTTGGTACCGTTTCACTAACTTGTCATATGCTATTAGATAATTGTTATTTGTAATTTGTATACCGCCTAAAAGCTTTAGAGGTTCATCTTCTAAAGGCAAAGAGATATTGTAATTTTTCTACATCAGACAAAGAAGTATTTTCATGAATTAGTTTTTTGAAAAGGTCGTGAAAGGAGGGCCAAAGCTTTTGGTCACCCTTGAAAATAGGCAAGTTTATTTGTGGATGCTTTATAGATGAAACGACGTTGGATTGAGCAGTCGGCGCCGATGTACCTTGAGTATTTATCTGAGGAAAGAGTGTCGTGTAAATAGAAATCGTTTCGTAATAGTAATTATCGATGTCTTTCCTTATTTTGTCTTGAGCTTTGAAATCACCTTCCTCAGAAACCTCCATGATTATTTCATTATGTAGTTTCCCAAACTTTTCATAATGATCCTTTAGGTCTCTACCGGGCCTGAAGTTGCCCTAACATGCTTTTATCCGTCTTCGCTTGAACAGCGAGACGACAAACCTCTGTAATGCGTGATAAATAAACGCTTCTCTTAGCCTCTAACTTTTTAATCTCGGAAGTGGGCGCCATGGTAAGTGAAAATTAATGTAATTCTTATTATGTGTAAAGAGAAAGAAAATTGAAAGTAAATAATTTCAGTCAAACTATTCTGAAAATTGTAGGTAATTGCAATTGTTATAGTTGTCGAGCAAAATAAAATTTAGAACAAATTAATTTTATTTTATTTTAATTATTATGAAAATTCTAATAATTGTAATTGTAAAGTGCAAGAAAATTGAAAATTAAATAATTTTATTTTTAATTATTATGTAAATTGTAATTGTAAAGTGAAAGAAAATTGAAAATTAAATAATTTTATTTTTAATTATTATGTAAATTGTAATTGTAAAGTGAAAGAAAATTGAAAAATAAATAATTTTATTTTTAATTATTATGTCTTGGTATTGGTAAATAGACCGCGCTCCCTGAAGTATAGTTGAGCGACTCGCGACTAAAAATAGGGTTGTCGAAACACACAAAAGATATTTCCACTCACCTGGGTGGGTTTTCTTATACGCTGTGTGTATATACGGGGATCCCCTGGAAAACGGTTCTTCACAACCACCAACGTATCAGCATCGACTTAAGGCACTCAAGGTCCCTTTTTATCGGCACAAGACATAGAATTTTCGAGCTTAGAACACGGAACCGGAAAAAATTGCAACGTGCATATGAAGCACCATTTATCTAGTGTGTAAATCCAATTCTTCAACGGCTTGCTCGGTCGGCGCAGGATCGTAGAAAATACACTCCTGTGTGTTTTACGCGAAATTGACGTAATTCTTTAATAAAAATGAGAAGAAACCAAATTTGTAAATAATGTTTCGTTAACAATACGCATATCACTTAATTAGTTTTTTAGTAATTAGGCTTTAAAAACAGAACCTATCAATTCACTTCTTTTTCTTGAATAACTTTTATCTGGACCAACTCTAAAAGTCCCCATGCAGGATTTTTTTGTAGAAAATGTTGTGATTTACAATATTTTTTAAATTTTATAAAGTTATATCGAAACATTGGATTCATCAATAAAACTACGTCTTTAGAACGCCTAGCCGCCCGCCTGTTGAAGAAGTTGAATTTTCTATGGTTCTGAGTTTATCATTCAATCGTTGAAATCTTCAAGCGCTAGAATTAAAGAATGCGTAAAGTTCTTCCAAGATGCTAAAAGTATCTGATATGCTTGCACTCGCTTCACAACTAAGTTCTAGAGCTGTATTCGTCCTATGAGCCTGGTAAGGGATGAAGCTAGTAATGATGTCCGACTTTGTCAGATATTTTTTGTTGTGCGTTATCGAAAGATCAAGATAGTGAGACTTCAAAGTCGTAGTTTTGAAAGGCTAAAGTTGTGGACGTTGAAGTATCTATATGGGTGGGCAATATTTTTAGGATTTCGGATGCTGTTCCCCCTCCTGTTTTATCATCTACTTCTACAACACTCAGCAATCTTTCCTTTGGTATTCCAGTTTCATCGATACTGCGGATTACAAGGGATAATATTTCTTTATTTGAAACTTCAGGAGTATGATCAGCCATAAAGTTGCGGCCGCAGTGCATGAGGGTAGTGGGGAGCTTGGTGGGAAGAGGATGAAGGTTCATGGTTAGAGGGTGGATATACCTTAGCCGCACTCGTCGAGGGGAAAATATACCAATCCAAATCAAGTTCACTGTAAAATTGTAGTTTCAAGTGCTCAACATGCCTCTTTCAAATTTGCCAGAAGGCTTCTCCTCTGTGACAGTTCTTACCCAAAAAATATGTAAATCTGGGCAATAAGAGAAGGTGGGTGCATGAGTATAACTTGCACAGATGGTGAATTTTTGCGAGTTTACAAGAAAATGCGAAATTACCCTGAAAAATTCTTTAATTATGCACGTATGATTTTTTGATTTTCTGCTCAATAAAGTACAAGACAAATTGGAAAGAACGTCTACAAACTTCAGAGAAGCAATTTGTGCAGAATAGCGCTTGTGCCTCACAATAAGGTAAGTTATATTTATAAATTTTTTGTATGTCTTTTTTAGTTGCACCTGCTTATTTCTATGTTATGCGGTTCCATTTTATTTTATTTACATATACGGGAAAAAACAATGTATATTGTTAAATGAAGCATATTTATTTGAAACGAAACTTAATACAAAATAAAATGCTTATATTTCTTAAAATGACAAAATTTGATATGCACCGACATAGAAATAATAATAACTGAGAGGATGTGAATCCAGTTTCATCCTGGTCATCAAAAGTCGAACCATAAGATGATGCAAATTGGGTAGTGTGAGATAATCGAGAAGTTGATTCAAGCGAAGTTTCATGAGACGGTGTCATAAATTCGGTAATGTTGGTCCTACTAGCTCTACCGGACCCTGCTGCATGGCCTCGTGCTCGATCAAAATTATTTCTTGAATTTTTGTACGAAGCCGTAGTGTTTGAGTTGGTGTAAACGCCTTCATAAACGGAAGCAAACTTTTAAAAAATAATAAATTTGGATCCTCTTCTGCGTTTATTTCCCTTTCCAGTAGGTCTACTTTGCGTGTTTCAATTTCTTTAGTAGCTGCATTGTAAGAACGACCTTCACTCCCAGCGTTAAGTTTCCTTTTATTTGAATTCGCTCGTATCATGCGAAAATTGCTTTTGCCATGAGGTAATTGCTTCGATGACCCTGGCTGAATATTTGTAATATCCGGTGGCCCTGGAGCTGTAGCGGAAAGCATGTCAGCGTCGCTCTCATTTTCTTTATTCATTTCTGATAAGAGCGAATTTTGAATTGTTTCGGTCTGATCATCCTCAAAAGTGTGTTGTGTCTGAAGCTCATTAGTTATAATCTGTGAAGGGTGTGTGGATGTTAGATTGTCATCTCTTGATTCATATAATGGTACTACGACGTTCTGAAGGAACAAGAGTTGTTGGAAATATGCCCATGAGCTAGTTGTCTTGACAAGTCCTCCACTTCCTGAGCGAGGTTTATCTAATTCACGCATCTGTGATATAAAATAAGCACGGAGATTTTTCCATTTTTTTTAGCATCATCCACTAAAACAACAGAAAATAAAGTCAGGAAATGTTCTGTTTATTTTGTCTTATAATAGAAAACTTGCACAAACTTCTTCAAAATCTTAAAATTTCTACCATAAAGCCATAAGAAACTGTACCTAAAAGTCATCAAACTTGAATTTTTTTCTGAGAAAATCAAAATTGAAAAATTTGCAAGTACCTTATAAAATATTTGATATATTATAGGGACTAACCAAGCATAAATATGTAAGGATTTTCTGTTTTTTAGATTCCTTGCAACAGAAGACTCTTTCACTTCTCTTGCGGGACGTTTCAAAATGGGAAAGACCACTGTATCGGAAATTATTATCGACACATGTATGGTTTCATGGAGTGAGTTGAGAGATGAGTACATGCCACATCCCACGAAAGAAATGTGGTACTCAATTGCCGATACCTTTTACGAGAAATGGAATTTTCCCAATTGTATAGGATGTATTGATGGTAAGCACTAAGAGTACGAGCCCCTGCTAACGGTGGATCAACATACTACAACTATAAGCAATATTTTTCAATTCTGTAACAAGCCGTGGTAGATGCCAACCGTAAAATAATTGCTGTTGACATAGGCACCCCAGGGAGACAGAGTGATGCTGGAAATTTTAGAACATCATTTCTGTTTCATTTGTTGGAAGCCATGGAACTCAATGTTCCGGATAACAGACCTCTACCTCTTCCTAATCTAGAAATGCTATTTGTACTCCTTGGTGATAAAGGATACCCTTTACTACCTTACTTAATGCGACCATATCCGGGCAGGGACTTCAGAAAAGAATATTTAATTACCAATTGAGTCGTGCAAGGAACAGTGTCGAATGTACTTTTGGCATAATGGCAGCTAAATGGAGACTGTTGCATAAGGCAATCGAGACCAGCGTAGATCATGCTGTTGAAATGGTGAAGGCAATTTGAAAGCAAAAAGAATTACAAACCCAATGCAGGTCTCTACAACAGGCATCAGTGGCGGAGGAGATATGGTACCAGTAAACCATTGTTTTGTAGCAGTTGCACTCAGAATACGGGATGAAATTATAAATTACTTTAATGGAATTGGCTTTGTTCCATGGCAAGAAAACTATGCTTACCAGAAAATATAATTCGCCATCACAATGTAAACCAACATATCATGCAATGATCATTTGTATATCTTGTTCTAAACTTTCATTTGAATTTTTCACATATTAAATAAACCACTTACCGTTTATACCAACTTCCTTGGTAATTTCTGCCCACAGTGTTTTAAGAATTTTCGAAATTTTCCTCAATTCGTCTACTGGGTCCCATATAGCTTCACGTTTATACACAGCCGAAATTAATTGCTCTTCCATTATTATGCCTTGCGCCTTGATGAAAATATCAAACACGACTGATTGCCAGGCGGTGTGCTTGGTGGGTCGCTAGGATGGTTAGGATGGTGGGGGATCGCAGTGCGGCTTATTCGATTTTAATCACCTGTGTTGGAAACACACTAGTGGGTTACTTGAAGGGTCGCTTGGCGCCTCGCTACCCACAACCCTCCAGGTAAACCGCTTGCACTGCGGCCGCAGCTTAATCGTGAAAAAATATGCATTTTGAATTTCTGCTATCATAATTTTTCCGCACTTTTTTTCTCAACGATTCAATAAATTCATTTTGGTATCTGGAACCTAAATAGGTTGTATATGGTAAGGTAGTTTGCTATTGCTAAGCCATTCATTTGAGACTGTGTTGCGTCTTGAAAGCTGTTGAAATGTTTGAAAGAAATTACTATCAACTTTTCCACGAAATTCAATTTTTTGTATAGCCAGAGTTTATCCTTACATCAAGAAGAATTAGTCAAATCAGAGTCTTTCTGAAGCTTCCTAATCGCACTCTTCAATCCTTTCTCCGTTTTCCCAGCCAGGATTTTGTTTCGGTTGCTAACTGAACACACATGCTTCATGGTCTGAAAGAGAAGAAACAATTATATTCGCTATCATGTCGTTGTTCGAGTAGCATTCGCTTGCTTGGTTCCGCATAGGTTTTGTGAATTTAAGTGTTTTTTTTTGCAATTTAATTTTCGACTTTTTGGCATGAGTTGTGCGTTTTAGTTGTGGAATCGATAGGTGATAAAAGTACTCGCCTTTTCCACAAACTGAGTAATTTGTAGTTGTTTGTCAATTAATACTTTCCGTCAGTATAGTGGTTTGAGTGCGATAAAGTCGCAGCCTAAAAGATGGGTGGTTCAGGTCAACATCCTCGGTCAACCAAAAATTCTTTGTCTACTGGATTAGATGAGGATACTTTAGAGCAGCTTATGAACAAGGTATGCACTAACTTTATTCAGCAGTTAGATAAGAAGCTTGACAACCGAATTAAGAAGTTGGAAAAAAAGTTAACCCAGGCCTGTGAGTCGTTTACTGCATTGAATGATAAGGTTAGTAGTAATACTAATACTATCCTTAAGATTGGGGAGCGGATGGATCACATTGAACAGGACAACAAACGTAATTCCCTAAGAATATGTGGTTTGCCCGAATCAGAAAATGAAGAACTGGAACAGCTTTTGCTTGCGTTTATCAACAATGATCTCAAAGTGTCCTGTGACGCTATCGATTTAGACTATTTTTTCCGAATTGGACCTGAAATGGATGATAAACCTCGAACTTTGCTCGTTAGGATTATGATTATTTTTTATCATTATCACAAGACACTTTTATGAATATTTTGCTACGACTAGTATATGCGGAATAGGAGCGAATTTGTTACAGCCTAATATAACCTTATGGCGCAAATTAATAGTCTTAATTTCTCTCATTTTAATGTGCGATCTCTGTGTTCTGATTTTGACAGTTTTCAGGACGTTGTGGCCGCTGGGGAGCTTGATTTTGTTGGATTATCTGAAACGTGGTTAAATGACGGAATCTGCTCCTCAGCACTTCACATTCCTGGGTTTAGCTTGATAAGGAAAGATAGGTTGGGAAGAGGTGGTGGTCTTGCTTTCTATGTTGGCGAGAAGTTCAAGTACAAAGTATTGGATGTGCCTACTTCAATCAGTGCTCTTGAACAATTATGGACTAGTCTTAAAGTTAATGGCAAACTAATATGCTTGGGTACTTTGTATAGACCTCCTCATGATAATGTCTCAAATTGTATCACTGACTTAGAAAATGCTATAGTTAATTTTTTACCTGCTCATGATCTGGTTCTCTTTGGTAGTGACTTTAATATAGATTTTATTTCAAATCAAAATAGTAAACTTTTATTGAATAACTTTTTAAATAAGTATGGGCTCCAACAGATAATTAAAGAACCAACCCGTATCACAAATAACTCTGAAACTCTTTTGGATATAATTGTCTCCAATTCTCCTGAATATGTGGGTAATCCTGAAGTGCTACGTATGGATGGTATCTCAGATCATTGTCTCGTGAGCTGCAAAATTTTAGTTAAGAGGCCATCTGCAGGTGTCAAGTTTCTTACTTACCGTGACTATGCAAGCTTTAATTATGAATCTTTTTCGGCTGATCTGCATAAGGTGGATATGATTGTTTGTTTAATTTGGCCAATGTGGATGATATGGTAGAATTATTCAATTAATCTGTTGAAACTCTATTCAATAGACATGCTCCTTTGAAAACATCTCGTGTTACCAAAAAGCCAGCACCGTGGATTACTGCCAATATTAAATATATGATGCGACTCCGTGCTAAAGCTCTTTCGAGCTACAAGAAAAATAAAACGGAAGCTGCATGGACTGATTACAAGCAACTTAGGAACTTTGTCACCAGCTCAATTAGGAATGAAAAAAAAGCTTATTTGTCTCATAAATTTAATACAGATCCCGCTGGGTTCTGGAAGACTTTAAGATGGCTCAATATAAATTCATCTCCCATAAGTGCACCGGAAGATATAGAATCTGTAGAGGAATTCAATGCATACTTTGCAAACTCTGTGCCTAATGTTAATATAAATCCACTAGAAAACACTTTTTTAACAAAATACTCTAGCTCTATTTACAATGAGGTCCAAAGCATTTTGAATTTCACAGTGGTTGATGAGCAGACCGTCAGTGAAATAATAACTAAAATAAAATCCAATGCAAGAGGCGCGGATGGTCTTGATGTGAAGATGGTTGCTTTGGTTTCACCTTATTTATTGAAACATATTACTTTTATTATGAACTCTTGTTTACAAACAAGTACCTTTCCATCTACTTGGAAGACAGCTAATATTATTCCGGTTGCTAAAATAACCAATCCCTCGACACTTGCCAATTTTCGTCCTATTAGTATTTTACCGGTGTTATCAAAAATTTTGGAAAAAATTGTATCTGAACAACTTGCGAATCACTTTTATTCATCGAAGATAATACCGATTACGCAATCTGGGTTTAGGCCTCGACATAGCACAGCTACTGCTTTGATCAAGGTTGGGGATGATATTTTAAAGGCAACTGATGAGGGCAAGAGCAGCTGCTTGATCCTCTTAGATTACAGCAAGGCGTTTGATACTCTCGATCATCAAATGCTTTTTGCTAAGTTGAGGTATTTTGGTCTGTGTCACTCAGCCTTAACGCTTATGAAGACTTACTTGTACAATAGAGACCAGAGAGTAGTTTTGAATAGCTCAGCCTCTTCTTCTGTCTGTGTCGGTCGAGGGGTTCCTCAGGGTAGCGTTCTAGGGCCTCTACTTTTTTCCATATACACTGCCGACTTTTGTAACTATTTAAATTTCTTAAACTCCCACCAATATGCTGATGACTTCCAGTTGTATTTTTCTTTTGATACTGACTTGCTTGAAGCACAGAACATTATTAATAGCGATTTGAATATCATACATAACATTCCCCCTGCTCATGGACTTCTCTTGAACGCGTCGAAAACACAGTTGCTTGGATTTGGAAGGAACTCTGCAGTACTTGCTAGAGATTTAAATATTACCCTAAATAATATTAAGATTAACTTTT